GGAGCGCGTGCTGACCGAGCCGGGCTCCGGGGGTCCCAGTCCAGCCCAGATCTCCCCCTCCCCGGACCGGCCTCCCTTCGTTACCCTGGAGGCGACCACGGTCAGCGATTCTCCTCTGGCGGGCTCGGGGTGGACGCGGGACCCCGGTAATCCAGGATCCCGGGCCTTGGAGGGACCGGGAAAGGGCCCGAGGCCCGCTCCCAGCGAGCGTCGTGAGCCGCCGTGGGGTACGACCACGACAGGGGCCGTCGGCCTGGAATTCTGCCCCAAACCCCAGGCAACCCGCGGGGACGGGACTCGCCCCACCCCGGCCCCGGGTGTGCGCCCCGCCCCGCCCCGCCTCCAGTCACGGAGCTGGGCCACGAAGGGGCGGGGCCCTTGAGCGGGGGGCGGGGCAGACGCGAAACTACCCGGGGCCACGGGGGCGGGGCGGACAAGAGACTACAATTCCCAGCGGGTCCTGCGCTTGCACCGTGGAGGCTGCTGGGAGAGCAGGTTCCCACTCGCGCCCGCCTATTGCGGAGAGACTTAAATTGACGGGGCGTTACTGCAGCGCCGAAGTCGCCGAGTGATGATGCTGTGAAGTCGCCCGCCAGACTCTGCCGCGCCCTGTCGGTTACTGGCCGCGGCGGCAGCTTCAGCAGCTTCGGCTGCTGCCCTCAAGCTGCCGCCGCTTTAGAAACTTGCTGAGGGACCGCGGGCAGAGATCGGAAGACTGCGCTCCTTCTGGTGAGTAACCTCCCAGCACACGCTGGCGACTCGCCCTTGCCAACCTCCCCTGACGGCGGAGCAGTCTCCTCGTCCCGCATCCCTCTGTCCCTCGGAGGTCACGAGCGGAGATGGAGGCATTCCGAGTCCTTCCTTGCCCCGCACTGGGGACGTGGCTCGTTTCCCAAGAGTGGGTGGGAATGATGGCCGCTGACCTGTGGCCGCCGGCTTACCCAGCTTCTCCTTGGAGGACTGGCACCCGCCCATCTGCCGCCAGACAGCATCCATCTGGGGCCCCAGCCGTGAGCGGTACGGTGTCTGGACTTTAAGCCGTAAACCTCGGTCGCCATCTGTGATGTGAGTGAGGAGAGAGGGCACTGAAAAGAATCTTCCTGTGTGGGGTCGAGTTGAGCTTTTCTTGAAGTTAATTCTATGCCAACTATGACCCACCGTTTAAAAACAAAACCGACTGACTAGTTTCGAGCGGAAATAATGCATGTTGGCAGGCGTTCTTGTCACTACCCGCAAGAAAGATAATCTCCCAAACACTTGAAAGATTCCGGGTCATAATAATAAAGCTGAACTTTGTCACTTGCCTGCACACCTTTTCCTTATACCTACTGTACCCGTGCTGGGCAAATTGGATGTAAAATCAAACTACAGTTCACTATAGGAACAAAATGAAATGGACCCTCCAGGGGTTTTGTTGTTGTTGTTGTTGCCTGTTTTCATTCATTTTAGTAAATGTTTTCCCAACCCCAAATCCTTGCTGTTGGTTTGGAAGTCTGAGTGATCTTCAAATAGCACTTTAATCGTGGTGACGTGACACTTCAAAACAGGTTGTGAAGGACATTTGGTAGTGAGGAAGGGCAGGGATGAAGACACTATCATCTCAGCAGTTATTCATGTTTTCTATTTTTAAAATTAAGTAACGTTCAGCAATTCAGCAAGCGCATAATATGCGAAAGGCACTGCTTTATTATCTTAGGTATGTTGTCTAGTTGTACAATGGAAGTGATTATAAAGAACTAGCACATGGATATTTCAATCAGTCGGGCACCCCGATTATGAACTCCGCAAACATTAGCTCACATTGTCTATTAACAACCCGCTGTGCTCATCTGAGACTCAAATGTTTCACTAGTATAACCAAACGGTGATTCCAATCTGCATCTGCTTTGCTTCAAAGCTGCAAGTCCGGTAACTTGTTAGGGGTTGAAGAGTTAAAAAGTAGTTAGCTGGCATTAAGCCTTTTCAAGCGGTGTCTCCTAATACTGGTCCTAACATACCATAGGCTCCTAGAAAAGCTGCAAACCCCTGCTTTCATGCTTTTGAACAAGTTCTCCGCTTACAGTTCTCTTTCCAATAGAGCTGCTCATTGCAACCTTAAAGCCCATCCAAACCCACGTCAGTTTACTTACATTAAGGTATTGGGCTCTTATCTCCAAGGTCCTTTTCCCTTCTAAGCTTTTGTGATTCTGCAGTTGAAAAACATGTGCCAAAGCATCTTAGTCTCCTCTGCATTTGTAATCAACAAAGGGTTTAAAAAAATCGTTTCAGTACCCAAAATGTAAAGCATGGATGTGAGACATGGTAACATGTTTCAGTTCTGCCTATCTTAGGTGTATCAGTTTTTGAACCTCTTTGATTATCTTCATTAGTCAAAAATCTGAAGCATAAAATTATCCTCAAATGGCTCAGTAATTGAAGGAACTAAATTATTATGGTTCACAGTCATATTTTCAGATCTTGAATGCTCTAGAATACAGTAAACATGAAGATAATATTTAAAGAGCCCTGGTGGCACTATGAGTTAGGCATTGGGCTGTTAATTGCAAAGATGGTGGTTCAAACCCAATAGCTACTCTGGGTGAGAAAGATAGGGCTGTCTGTTCCCATAAAATTTATAGTCTCAGAAACCTTATGAGTCAGAATGCACTCAATGGCAGTGGGCACATAATACCCACTGTGTGTTAGATGCCCATCTAAATGTGTCACCTATATTAATTTATCCTGGCAGTACTGCAAGGAGCCCTCGTGGCCTTACAGTTACTGTGAGGTCTTTTTTCAGATAGTCAACTGAGGCAAAGAGAATAAGTCAACAAACCCACGGTCACTCAGCTGATGAGCAATAGAGCTGGGTTTCAAATCTAGGCGATCTCAGAAACTTAAGTGTATTTATTAAACGTTTACTGTGTACCAAACCCACAATGATTTTTATATAATTAGGTCATTTATCTTTACAAATATGTTAGAGTGGAAACTCATAAGTCAATGATAGCTAAGTGGTGAAGCTAGGATTTGAACTTGTGCTTGTCTTCTGCACTGCTGCAACCCAGGATTTGTAGCTTGAATCCACTGATAAGCACACTGAAAGAAAGCCCTGGTGATCTACTTATAAAATCAGCCCTTGAAAGCCCTATGGAGCCAAGTTCTATGACGCACATGAGATTCACACGAATTATAATCTGCTTGGTGGCAACTGGTGTGGGCTTGGCACGGTGCTCGGTGCTGGTGATAATGTCTCTATGGTCTGAATCAAGACAGCGACAATCGTGATAGTGTGTTGAGTAGTGTGACCACTGTGTACGAGGGTGCCAGGTAGCATAGAGAATGGCACTGACATGAGAGTGGGACTGGGTCAGTCTTGGCAAAATAAATGAGAATTAGCCTGGGCACAGAAGAGTGGGATGATGCTCGAGCCAAGTGCAATGACATACAAAGAGACTTGGAAGTGTGGCCAAGTTTCCTGCTAAGGGGATGAAAGGAAGTTTTGAGAGATGAAGCTAGAGGCTCTGCTGTGGCCACACGAGGATGCTTTTTGTTTTATCCTACAAGAGATGAGCCTGTGGGGCTTTCTAGCAGCGGTGGCTGCGGCGGTGGTGGTGGTGGTGGTGGTAGTAGTAGTGAAGCATTTACTCTTTGAACCTTGTAGAGGATCAAATAAAAAGATTCTGGCGACAAGGAGTCTAATGAGGTGACTGTTGCCACAGGAAGCTAACTAAAGAGTTCCCCAGTATAATGAAA